CTTTTGTCACAGTCTCCCACTTGGTCCCCTAGGGGAGTGTCCACCAGGTGGGAGACCTGTATAAATACTGGGCAGGTAGCCCTCATTAAATAGACCACTGCTTGACCTCCAACACGGAGCCTTGTCTCATCTTTGGGGGGATTTACTGAATGCTGATAGAGACTGATTGCTAGGAGTGTACGCCGCTTGGATGCTTTTCCTATTCGTCTGCTAGCAGCTATTCGTATGGTTCCAGTTCGTGTGTTTGGAGTGTTATTTTGTATGCAGTTCGGGAGATTGGAGCATTCCCTTATTTGCGGTTCGGGAGTTTGGTGTTCTACAGTAGCTGTGCCTGCATCTCTGAAAAGGGGACGATCGCCTAAACGGTTTTAACCCCTTGTGTGCAGAACGGTCCGTTACAATAAGGAATACTCAAATGGCAGTGTAGTGGAGAGCTCGTCCTAGCAGGGTCTCTCCGCCGCTGGTTACTCCAATATGGCTCAGGAACAAGTAGAATACTCCAAGGGAACCGCCAAATACAGCAAAGTAATCCAAGAATCTCCCACCACCTCCCCAGCAACTGGACGACACTCAGCTCTGGGGGTATAACTCATTTTAATGGAGCCACACACAGCCTTTTATGAGAATCCCCATGCAAGGGGTTTCCAATTACACATTCCAGGGGCATTCCCCACTCGAGCTGAGCGTAGACTGAGGCAAAGTACACAATATAATTACATTACCTCTCAGGTCTAGGACATGCACAATATTCAACACCCCAAATTACACATTTCCCCATAAGGTACCCCCTCAAGTTCTATATCCCTGGATAGCCTGGGTCTGAGCGCCCAAGTTAGCCAAAAAGCACTCATATACCACGAATGCAGCTGAAACACCACCGGGGTATAGTTTAGACCGACTGCACACGAGGCGCCTGCCCAAAAAATTCCATGAAAATAGGCTGTGCGGTCGGTCTCTTTCGGGAGTATAAAATACATAAAAATAGTACAACAAACTGTTCGTATGATTATCTAGTACGGTAGGATGCTCCCCCTGAACATCGCTCAGTTTGCATGAATTTCCACGAATGGAACAGAAGGTGGAAGTCCAAGCGGTGTTTGCGCCGCCAAGTGGCCGATTTTAGTTCCATACACTCAACGACCAAACACAGCTGTCTCTGTTCGTATTCCAAGATGGCCGCCACCACGTGTTCGCACATACAAACAGCGGCCCCCCAGTCGACCACTTGGAACGTTGATGTATTTGCGGTTTGTGGAGGTGTGAACAGGGTTATTGGTGTTAATGAGCGGCACACTCCACAACTTGGTGGCCTGCTGTTCAGTAGTTTGTTCGGTTGTCGACCAAAACCGGCAGAGCAAATCAGGAGAATGGAATTTAACGAATGGCCAGGCAAAACAGAGGAAAAGCATTGTCGCTTAATAATAGGGAGATCTGTCCCGAAACAGGGACTGCCAGCCCCAAACATAGGGGACAACTGGGAGGGGGAAAACCAGCACGGACAGCCCAGAGCAGGCATGAGGGTACCGTCCCAAGGCCCATTCCGCTACAGGCAAATTAAATTTAATGTAGAAAAATGCAATGTTATGCACTTGGGTGTAAATAATGCAAAAGCAACTTATACCCTTAATGGAAGCGAATTAGGGATAACAACACACGAGAAGTACTTGGGAATTGTTATAGACAACAAACTATGCAACAATGTGCAATGTCAATCAGCAGTGGCCAAGGCCAGTAAGTTTTTCATGCATGAAAAAGGGATATAATTCTCGGGATGAGAATATCATTTTGCCTCTTTATAAATCGCTGGTAAGACCACACCTTGAATATGCTGTGCAATTTTGGGCACCTGTTCTAAAGAAGGATATTATGGCACTAGAAAAAGTGCAGAGACAGGCTACAAAATTAATAAAAGGAATGGAACATATCAGCTATGAAGACAGGTTAACAAATTTAAACCTATTTAGTTTAGAAAAACGTCACCTGAGAGGGGATATGATAACATTATACAAATATATTCGGGGCCAATACAAACCATTGTATGGAAATCTATTCACAAACCGGACTTTACATAGGACACGAGGCCATGCGTTTAGACTGGAAGAAAGAAGATTTCGTCTAAGGCAAAGGAAAGGTTTTTTTACTGTAAGAACAATCAGGATGTGGAATTCTCCGCCTGAAGAAGTGGTTTTATCAGAGTCCATACAGATGTTCAAAAGGCTTCTAGATGCATACTTGCAAAAACAGAATATTCAAGGATATAATCTTTCAATGTAGGGTAATAACTGCTTGATCCAAGGATAAATCTGACTGCCATTCTGGGGTCAAGAAGGAATTTCTTTCCTAGCTTGTTGCAAAATTGGAAGTGATTCAAACTGTTTTTTTTCCCTTCTTTTGGATTAAAGGAACACTATAGTCAATTAAATTACTTTAGCTAAATAAAGCAGTTTTAGTGTATAGATCATTCCCCTGCAATTTCACTGCTCAATTCACTGTCATTTAGGAGTTAAATCACTTTGTTTCTGTTTATGCAGCCCTAGCCACACCTTCCCTGGCTATGATTGACAGAGCCTGCATGAAAAAAAAAAACTGGTTTCACTTTCAAACAGATGTAATTTAATTTAAATAACTGTATCTCAATATCTAAATTAAACTTTAATCACATACAGGAGGCTCTTGCAGGGTCTAGCAAGCTATTAACATAGCAGGGGATAAAAAAATCTTAATTAAACAGAACTTGCAATAAAGAAAGCCTAAATAGGGCTCTCTTTACAGGAAGTGTTTATGGAAGGCTGTGGAAGACACATGCAGGGAGGTGTGACTAGGGTTCATAAACAAAGGGATTTAACTCCTAAATGGCAGAGGATTGAGCAGTGAGGCTGCAGGGGCATGTTTTATACACCAAAACTGCTTCATTAAGCTAAAGTTGTTCAGGTGACTATAGTGTCCCTTTAACAGCAAAAAACTAATGTGAGGATGGCTGAACTTGATGGACATCTGTCTCTTTTCAGCTATGTAACCAAGGAATACAACTTTGTATTCCTTACACTATAGAATCCCTTTAACCCCTTCCCGGCCTCGGATGTGCAGGGTACGTTCAACAAAAAACGGCAGTTAATAATCGCGGATGTACCCTGCACGTCCGCAATATGCTCTCAGCGAGACGTCAACTTCCGACCAGAACCGACACCACAAGGATGTAGCCATATGGTCCTCCCCTCTCCCCCAAAAAAGTGATGTTTAACACAGCGTCCATTGCAAAAGGTCTCTGCAGAAACCCAGTGTGAAGTCTGACACACGATGCATGTCCAGCTGGGAACTCTGGGATAGTTGTGAAAACATGATTTCTATGGCAAATGAGGATTTCTTAAAGTCCAGCTTGACACACGCAGGTGATGAGACACAAGAGTAATTATTTTATTTGTGGGGAATTTTATCGTGTTTTGGCCTCAGCACGATATCTATATATATATATATATATCCAAATAGGTTATGGTGGGGAAAAATTGTGATTGAAAACCCCTTCCCCCTGAGGTCTGTGGATAGTTAATACAATGTTAAACAAAAATCTGCACACCAGCCAAGCCATAAGACTTGCTTTTCCCACAGAGATCCCAAATCTGCAGTGATGTTACAACCGCAACAGATTCTGGGTGGGCATATGCAAATTAGTTTAGCAAAGAATCACATTTTTGCCTCATTCCATTTTAAACATGGATTCCTTTTAATCTGTGTTTGCAGTATACAACAGCTTGGAACACAATTTAGGAAAAAATGCAAAAGATGTGGTTCGCTGGTTTTGCATCTTTTCCTATATTGTGTTTCAAGCTGTTGTATGAAGCCCAGTTGCAGGAGATGGCACAAGGAGGAGACATAATCCAAAAACACAGTACAGATAAAGGGGCAATCCAAAGCAGGGTCAGACGAGAAGTCAGGGCTGGCAGCGGAGTAACAAGTCGGTAAATCAGTCAGTAGCGAAGCAGAGATCTGGCAGGAAACACCAAACAGGCAAAAATGACCAGATGTCTCAGGCAGGGCTGGCTTTTACAGCCTGCTAATTAGGTGCAGCTGACCCTAATTGGAAAAGGGCTGCAGGTTGATCAGGGTTGCTTAATCCAGGCAAGGGGGTCAGGAAGCAGAAAAATGCAAACTGAAACTGAAGCTTTGTTTTGGACAGCACGGCAGAGAACCTGACTGGGATGCTGGAGCAGTGAGTTCAAACCCAGCTAGGTCTCTTAAAGGGGCAAGCCACACTTTGCTGTCTGCAGGGCTTGGGCTGTGCCATGAAAGATGGTGTACTGTCTCAGTCTGAATCCAAGCTAATTATTAATTAATAAGTCTAATAATTGCTGCTTCTCCAGTCAGGTCAATCTTGATACATCAACACATTTGAGCCTCAGCAGAAGTCACCAGTCCATAAAGGAGAAGATGGTCATTGAGATTCCAGCTCTAGGACGGCCGTTCTCTCTTGGGATGTTGTATGATTGCCGGGATGATAAACTGATTCCAGGTACAATGTGCTCAGTCTTTACATTCAACAAACAAGCTTCAAATTGGCCTGATCCATACTGCCATGCTCATTTAATGTCTTTAGTATTATTATTGCCATTTATATACCGCCGACAGATTCCGTAGCACTTTACAATATTATAAGAGGGGGAATTTAACTGTAAGTAGGACAACTACAAGAAAACTTACAGGAAAGATAGGTTGGAGAGGACCCTGCTCAAACAAGCTTACAGTCTAAAGGAGGTGGGTGTAAAAAACAATAGGACAGGGGATATCAATCAAGTAACGTTGAGAGAGCTGGAGGAGAGAGTAGAGTGCTGCCCTTTAGAAGAGGGCAAGAGACAGGTATATGAGGTCGATGTTACTCTGGGAGGCCATAAGCTTTCCTACAGAGATGGGTTTTAAGGCATTTGTTAAACGATTCAAGACTAGGAGAGAGTCTGATGGTGGTAAGCCAGCTATTCCATAGGAAGGGAGCTGCTCGCGAGACGTCCTTTAAGTGTGAGTTGGCCGTACGGGTGCGAGCAGCGGACAGGAGAAAGTCTCGGGCAGAGCGGAGAGACCGAGAAGGGGCATACCTATGGATCAGTGAAGAGATATAAGAGGGGCTTTATTACTCAGTGCTTTATAGGTATGGGTTAGCACTTTGAATTGACTCCTATAGGATACAGGAAGCCAATGTAAGGACTAACAGAGAGGTGAGGTGTGAGAGGACCGACTAGAGAGGAAAATCAGTCTGGCGGCAGCATTCATTACAGACTGTAGTGGGGCAATATGGCTTTTGGGAAGACCAATTAGGAGAGGGTTACAATAATCCCTACGGGAAATTACGAGAGCATGGACAAGCTTCTCGGTAGCGTAAGAAAGGGGCAGATGTGGTCTATGTTTTTAAGTTGGAATCTACAGGACTTGGTAACATGCTGGATGTGAGGCTCAAAGGTGAGGCCAGAATGAAGTATGACACCAAGACAGCGCGCTTGCAAGGATGGACTGATGTGGGTACCACTAACTTGAAGGGAGAGCGAAAGAGGAGAATCCGTATTAGGAGGAGGAAGGAAAGACAAGAGATTTAGTTTCAGAAAGCGTGAGGACATCCAGTCAGAGATGGAAGAAAGTGACACATTGCAAGGTGGCAGGGGAGAGGTCCGGGGAGGAGAGATATATCTGGGTGTCATCAGCGTACAGGTGGTAGCCAAATGAGGTAATACGTTTGCCAAGAGAGGCAGTATAAAGAGAAAATAGAAGGGGACCAAGGACAGAGCCTTGGGGGACTCCAACCGAGACAGGACGAGGGGAGGAGGTGTCATTAGAGAAGGAGACACTGAATGAGCGTTGGGAAAGATAAGAGGAAACCCATGAGAGGACAGAGTCACAGAGACCGAGTGATTGAAGAGTTTGAAGGAGGAGAGCATGATCAATGGTGTCAAAGGCAGCAGAGGGGGAATAAAATAACTAACCTGTAAATTAAAATAAAACTTACCATTTGATGTCTTCTTTCTTTTAAAATCTTCATTTTTCAAGGAGTATTAATATGGAGTAGTGACCTTTGGATTTAGCTGCGATTAGGTCATTAGTAACTGTGATAAGAGCAGTCTCAGTAGTGGAGAGGGTGGAAGCCAGATTGAAGAGGGTCAAGGAGAGAGTTGGAATTGAGGAAGTGAGACAAGTCTTTCCAAAAGCTTTGAGGAAAAATGGAGCAGGGATATGGGACGATAGTTAGAGGGGGAGGTTGGGTCGAGGGATGTTTTTTTCAGGATAGGTACTACAGTGGCATGTTTAAGGTCAGCAGTGACAATGCCAAAAGAGAGCAAGCAGCTGAAGATTTGTGTTAAGGAAGGCACAAGACAAGGGGAGAGAGATCTGATAAGGTGAGACAGGACAGGATCGAGCGGGCAAGTGGGGGGGGGCTATAGGAGAGGCGCAGCCACCTCTTTTTCAGTAGCCGGGGAGAGAGTCTGAAGGGTAGAAAATACAGGATCTACGTGTGGTTGAGAAAGAGAATGGCAAGGTGGTGAGAATTATTTCCATAGCTTTTCAATCTTGTCGTTAAAGTAGCATGCAAAGCTATCAGCAGTAAGGTTAGTTTGGGGGGTGGCCACAGCAGGGCAAAGAAGAGAATTAAAGGTGTCAAAGAGACACCTGGGATTGCGGGAGCATGAACTAATGAGAGAGGAAAAGTATGACTGTTTGGCGAGGACAAAGGCTGCGCTGTATGAACATAATATAATGGAGAAAGTCTGACTGGGTGCGAGACTTCCTCCAGGAGAGTTCAGCACAACGGGAGCATCTATGCAGGTAGCGTGTTGATTTAGTGTGCCAAAAATGTTAGCAGAGAAGGATTTGAAAAGGCGACTCAAATGGATTTCAAATGAGGAGAAAGAGAGGGAAGGGCGGGTGGGTAGAGGTTTGAAGGAGCAGTGAGCACCTTTACTTTCAGATTGTCTTGGGTTGTGGGTAAGTTGAAGGCCGCCAAAAGATAAAGATGCAGTGGTAGCAGTGTCAGAGGGGGATAGCCATGTTAAGGCTAGTAAATCTAGGGAATGAAAGATGAAGAGGTCGTGGACAGCAGTGGATTTTGTAATATTGCAAACAGAGCGTGCATTCCAGAGGGCAGTATTGTAGGAGGATTTAGAGGAAGAGTAACATGAGATGGGTATGAGATTGGTGTGGTCCTTGAGTTAGTACATGGTGGGTTTGCCAAGATGGGACAGGGGTTTGGAGAGACATCATCAGCTGCTAGGAGCAGAAGGATAGAAAGGAAGTGAAGCTGGGAGAAGGATTTGAAAGTTTTGTAGGAGGGTGTGTATATAGAGGAATTGGGTGGGATTGGAGGAAATAGGCTGGAGAGGTATGTGTAGAGTGCATGGGATAAATAGAGAGGGGAGGGGAGTAAAGTGGAAGTAATGAAGATGGTGTTGCCAGGGACAGGTGAGCGATAGGGATATTTTAGTAATGACAGAAGTTAATGTGAAAGTGAAAAATAGAAGGGAGAACATTATTTAGAGAAAATGTGATATAGATATGAAGATTATACATATGCACGTATATAATCATAGACATATACAGACACACACATATGTGTTCTGGGAGTTACTAATCAATGCTATTGTTTTTTTTTTTTTAAATTGCATGCTCAAATCGTCATAGTTTTTGCACAAAAAAGTTTTGCAGAAATAAATATATATTATATATTAAACAAATAAAATAAATATATATATATGTTTTGCAGAATGCTGCACCATAAGCCGGCCTTGTTAGCCAAAAAGACTCCCTTATCAATGTATGCACACAGCTCAGCCATTGACAGCACTGAGTGAGCTGTCTTTAAGTCACAGAGAAATTACAAACAGGGACTGAAATCCTTACTATGTCTCATTCTCATGCAGGTTGGTTTGTTCAGATCACTCAGTGCTGTCAGTGGCTGAGCTGTGTGCATACCTTGATACGGAAGGTCTTTTTCTGGAGTGAGGGCTAAAGAGGCAGGATTATGGGGCATCATTCCGCAAAGCATATATTTATCTATTCATTTTATTTAATATATGATATACATTTATTTATTTTATGCACAAACTGTAAAAATTGGAGCTTGCACAGAAATACAGCACATTAACCCCTTAAGGACACATGACATGTGTGACATGTCATGATTCCCTTTTATTCCAGAAGTTTGGTCCTTAAGGGGTTAATGAGGCTAAAACATCGGTGCATGGACTGTCCCTTTAAATTAAAATAAAAACTGTTCTACTGGGCAGATTTTGTAGCTTTAATAAAGACCCCCAGTGTCTTTTACCATCACCGCATGTGACGTGAGACTCAGGTGAAAATAAAATATTATATAATAAACGTAACGATCTCACCACGTCTTTCTTTCTACAATGGGGAACTTACAATGTGATGCTTTCTAACATGTTTTGTCACAGTGCTCACGTGTCTTGGTCTATGCTGGGTTCCACACCTAGATTTCATTTCCTCCCCCTAACCAGTCTGTTCTTATTTCCTTACAAAATTACCTATTTATCCCATGTGTCACTGCACATCTCGTGTGAAATCTATAAAATACATCTATGTGCACTTTGTCCTGCTTCTGTGTTATCACTTAGTGTGCCCTATTGTCCTCCACGTGATACACAGAGCTTGGCCTTCAACTGTCCTACATGTGATACATACAGCCCGGCCTTCTCTTGTCCTTCACGTGATACATACAGCCCGGCCTTCTCCTGTCCTACAAGTGACACACAGCCCGGCCTTCTCCTGTCCTTCAAGTGATACATACAGCCCGGCCTTCTCTTGTCCTTCACGTGATACATACAGCCCGGCCTTCAGGGGAGGGCTGGCAGCCTTAGGCCTGGAGGCAGTGGCGGATCCAGAGCCTGATCTCGGGAGGGGCACTTGTAGATTATTTAAAGAAATAATCCAGACACAATAACTACTACAGCTCAGTGTAGTGGTTATGGTGTCAATAGTGCCGGGACCCCCTCCTAGAGTAAGTAGTCAAACCGTTTAAGAACAGTTTGACAACTTACCTGAGGTCTGCTGGGAAATGGGGCGGTAGTAGGGCATAGGAGCAGTGGTGTGTGTGAGTGGTGCAATGTGTAAGGGGTGCAGTGTGTGTGTGTGTGTGAGGGGGACAGTGTGTGAGCAGTGTGTGTGTGTGTGTGAAGGTTGTAGTGTGTGAGTAGGGGGGGCAGTGTATGTCAGGGATGCAGTGTATGTGTGGGACAGTATGTGTGTGTAACAGTTGCAGTGTGTGTGTGAATGTGGGCAATGTGTGTGTATGGGGCGGCAGTGTATGGGAAGAGTGTGTGTGTATGGGGGGCAGTGAGTGTGTATGGGGGCAGTATGTGTGTATGAGGGCAGTATGTGTGTATGAGGGCAGTATGTGTGCATGGGGGGGCAGTATGTGTGCATGGGGGGGCAGTATGTGTGCATGGAGGGCAGTATGTGTGCATGTGGGGCAGTATGTGTGTATGGGGGGGCAGTATGTGTATGG